TTGTTATTCATAACGAACGATCGAGATAAAACAGACTAACAACTTTGCGACTGCGTTAATTATTCCCTCTAATCCCCCTACCCCACTCCACCTCTTGGAAGTTCTTTTAATCCTCTCAAACCGTTGATGATGACTATTTGCGAGGAAACACGTGTGGTTTTTTCTTTTTTCCCTTTTCTTTTTTTTTTTATTCATTTCGCTATACAAGTTTTGTCGGAATGATAAGGAAAGATTAATTGGTAGCATTAGCGGTCGCGATAAAACAGAATAAACAATCAACTTCCTGCAGATAATATATTGTATAATAATTACCGAAATTAATTCATATCGCGTTTTATTTTTTATGATAATAAAAATGAATATGTACCAGCATTTTTCACGAAATAAGGAAAAATTGATGTAATCGTCATTGTGATTAAATATACTTTTCAAAATAAACTATAATGAATATAATACGAAGAAGAGAAAAATGAAAAAAGAGAGAGAAAGAGAGATAAAGAGAAAGCATAACGAATTATCGAAAAATAAGAGAAATAAATTCGCGAATATTCGTTATTATTACTAAGAATAAGAAGTAATAATCAATTTATTACCAGAAAAAGAAATTTAGACGTATAGAAAAATTTGTATTACAACGGTTCATCGTTAGATTGAATAGAACACGGTTATAAACGAAGGAGTCACGCTGTAAATTGCAAGTAGTAGTAGTAGTAGTGTAGTGGGGATAGTGTAGTAGAGATGAGAAGCGTACGAAGTAGATAATCTTTTTTCCATCGCAGCATTAACCGTATATATACCGTATTTCATATATATATATATATATATACAGGTTGTCCAAAAATTTGCTTTTCCCAAACTGAAAAATTATACATTTCTTTCGATAGTTATAGGATTGTTCAAAAATTTTGTACTGAAATTTGCTTCATTCTGTTATATAGATATACATATATAAATACAGACAAAAATGGATATTGTACTTCGAAGATAAAAAATGCTTCGTATTATTTCACTTATACATTAGTAAATTGTTAAGATAACATTTTAGAATTGGATTTTTTTTAAAGTTATAATTACTTATTTGATATATATTTTGTAATATGTATGTATGAAAATTTATTAAATTAAACTTATTAATATTTCATGTATTATTATATTCAATTAAAGTATATATTAAATTTTATTATAAAGTATAATATTTAATACATATATAATAATATTATCTAAAAATATTTATTTAAAAATCCGCACAGATATTCCAAACAACCCAATATTTAAATTAGCAACACCAATTCATCTATTGAAATAAAATACAAAAATATTGTATTACTGTTATTTATATTATTTTATTTTTTTTTTACACTAAAATAATTTGTGGAACATCCTGTATATATATATATACGAGCACCTAATGTAGGTGTACACGTGCGTGCAGCTGCTTTGAAATATCACGAACGAGAAATTGTATAAAATACTATACTCGCAGTTATGGGTATCTTTACACACAAACATAGAATCCAGTTTGTACGGTGAAATAAATGTATGTGTGTATGTATACGTATACGAATTCACGGTGACAAGTGGCAGCTGATTGCGGTAGCCGACTCATCCGCTTCGAATTAAAATCAGTATCATCCGTCGGATGTTGTTGTATCGTCAAGCTATGCCCTTAACTTAAAAGAAAAAAGAAAAAAAAAAGAAAAATAACTGTTTTCCTCCTCGCGTTACTATTAGGGTGAACCAAAAGTTCGTGAGTTTTTAAATTAATATTTCATTTGCATATAAAGTAATTTTATTGACTTCAAAAAATTGAACTATCTCAAAAACAACACAACAAACAATAAATTTACTCTAATAGATTTTCCAAAAATATTTCCAGGAATTGTCGCACATTTTCTAAAAAAACATTTTATTACAGCACATAATCCAAGAGAGTCTCGTTTAAGTTTTTCAAAGTTACATTTGTTACTAACAACATCATATTTTTCATACGCAATATGATTTATTTCAATCTTTTAACGACGATTAAAGAAAACTCGTTTCTTAAAGCATAAAACATAAATTAACGGATTTGATTATATCTAAACTTTTATAAATATACAGAATAATGTTGATTACGCGAATGCATTGGAGCATGACAATTTATTATCACTTAACTTAAGCCACTGCGCGTACGATTTTAATTTTTTAATTTATATAGCTTGATACTGCTGTGTTTTTTTTCTTTCTATTTAAAAATGAACATAAATAATAAAAATATCTTATAATTATTTCCTGTTTACAATTCAATTCGAAACTACAGATTTGAATATAACACACAGGAGGTTACCTTACCCGCTACTCATCTAAAAGAAAGAATTTTTTAATGACGTAGAATTGCATTTCCAGTACTCTGGTTAAAACTTTAAAATGACGTAGAAATGTGTTTACTGGTCGCGAAAGTGTTAACGAGTGGAAAACCTTGAAAACCTAGAAAACCTTGAAGAAGACTCTTTGGCAACATTACTGCATATATAATATTTTGTATATCTTAATGTTACACGCATATTCTTGCATGACATTAGCCAAACAATTTTGTTACATTCGTTAAAAAAAAAAAATTAAACGAATAAAATATACAAAAGATATTAATATAAAAATCAAATAATTCGTAATTCTTTAACCTCATCATATTGTATTTATAAAATACTATGATTTTGATATTTAATTCGGCTAAACTATATATCTACGTAAGTTTTAAAATAGAAAGAAATATAATA